AAAAAAAAAAAAAAAAAATTAATAGCTGTCCAAAAGAGAGATAATTTTGATGAGTTATTATCTGAAAGGGGTCATCTGTCATCCTAGAACTTTGAAGCCAGTGAGTGGCATGCTGAGGTCTGTATTATAAAAAAATCCTTCTGGCTACAGTGTGGCCTGAAGTGGGGCAGAGGGAGACTAGAGACTGTTGTGAAGGTTTAGCAGAGGCTTTGTCCAAATTAATGAACATGGAGTGGATACTAGGCCAAAGCAGTGCCTGGACCATATTGCAGAAGTGGAATTGACAGGACTTGAAGAGAGGATGTGGTGAAAGTGAAACAAGGAGATGCACAAAATGGGTCACTTGGTAGATAGTGGTGTCATTGTCTAGGATAGGGAATCAAGTTTTGGGGGCAGAGAGGAGGGTAGGAGAGATTAAGGAGTAAAGGTTTGAGCCTACATATTCAAAGGTGTCAACTGATAAGATTTATAAAACAGAAGATTTGGAAAACAAGTTTGGACCTTGAGCATGAAATGTCAACTATAGATCCAAGGTAGCTGAAGTCATAAGGCCAGGGAGAGCTTTTCCTTGATAAGAAGCAAGGACAGGCCAGACTCAGTGGCTCACACCTATAATCCCAGCACTCTGGGAGGCTGAGGCAGGTGGATTGCTTGAGTTCAGGAGTTTGAGACCAGCCTGGGCAACACAGTGAAACTCCATCTCTACTAAAAATACAAAAAATGGCCAGGCATGGTGGCTCATGCCTGTAATTCCAGCACTTTGGGGGGCCAAGGTGGGTGGATCATTTGAGGTGAAGAGTTTGAGATCAGCCTGGCCAACATAGTGAAGCCCCTTCTCTAATAAAAATACAGGCCAGGTGTGGTGGCTTCCGCCTGTAATCCCAGCACTATGGAAGGCCAAGGTGGGTGGATCATGAGGTCAGGAGTTCAAGATCAGCCTGGCCAAGGTGGTGAAACCCTGTCTCTAAAAATGTAAAAAATAAAAAAATACAAATACAAATACAAAAAAAGTTAGCCAGACATGGTGGCGTGTGCCTGTAATCCCAGCTACTCGGGAGGCTGAGGCATGAGAATTGCTTGAACCCAGGAGGTGGAGGTTGCAGTGAACTGAGGTGGCACCACTGCATTCCAGCCTGGGTGACAGAGCGAAATCCTGCCTCAAAACAGTAAAAATAAATAAATAAAATTAAATGAAGAAAATTTGGAAAATACCCCCAAAATTTGGTTTTTAAAAAAGTCATTTCTAGTCATCTAAAGTGGGTCACTTTCTCTTGCTAGAATGTGTGCCATCTAGTTCCTCTCCTGGGGGGCAACCAATGTTAAGGTAGTCTTCTAGAAATATATATATATTCTACCCACTCATGTAATTGTGTTAACATTTTGGTGGATTTTATTTCAGTGCCTTTGATGTGTGTGTGTTTCAGAGTGTTGTCATCATGTAGCACATCACATTTTATACTCTGCTTTTTCTTACCCTTTTCCTTTAATGTTGTATCATGGCATTTTCTCCTGTTATTCTGTAGTCTTTAAAAACTGTAATTTTTAGTGGCTGCATAATACTTGGTTCAGTTTCTCAAAAAAAAAAAAGTTTAGTTAACTTCTGGTTATAAAGATAGTAATTGCTCTTTAAGAAATGTGGGGCCAGGTGTGGTGGCTCACACCTGTAATCCGAGCACTTTGGGAGGCTGAGGCAGGAGGATCAGTTCAGGTGAGGCATTCGAGACCAGCCTGGTGAACATGGTGAAACCTGTCTCTACTACAAATACTGAAAATGGCCAGGCATGGTGGCACATGCCTATAATCCCAACTACTCTGGAGGGTGAGGCATGAGAATTGCTTGAACCTGGTAGGCAGAAGTTGCAGTGAGCCAAGATGGCACTATTGCACTCCAGTCTGGGCAACAGAATGAGACCCTGTCTCAAAAAATAAAATAAAATAGAAATAAAGAGAACTTGGAAGTATAGATAATACCATATTCATGTACTTCAAGATGAATATTTTTTTCAAATGTTCACATATCTGAAATTATGAATTGATGCTTCTTACAATAGCTGTCAGCCAGGTTACCTTCACTTAGTTGTCACTATCTGTATGAATAAACTGGATCATTACAGTTCATTATGAGGTAAGTGCATTTCTGGTACTATATTTGTTGAGTTTAACTGGTTTAAAAATATTTTCAAAAAGATAGTGTGATTTAGCACTGAAAAGAAAAGATTTTGTGAACACAGAGGCACAGAAACAGGACAGTGGAGAGTAAATTTCCTATTAGTGGAGCAAATATGTGTTGTTGTTAGAGGAAAGACTGCAATTTTCTAATTCCATGTCAAGCAACCAAATTCTTCATAGCCCCAGAAAGAAAGGTACCACCTACCCTCAAGTTGGTGAGGCTGGATCATTTTTTCTTGCTAGAATATGTGCAAAGAGATTGTGTATCACGGGGCCATTGCAGAATGAGTCTTGACGGCTTGAAAGAAAACTTCAGAAGCAGTAGTAGAGGATTCTAAGAATTTCCACATTACCGTTAGTTTGGAAGACACAGAGGATGATACTGTGTAGACATCAATGACTCAGTGCTGGGCTCTGAATAGGAATACCTGAACAAATCAGTTTATTTATTTCACTTGTTTTTTCTTTTTTTTTTTTTCTATGCATGAATGACAAAAAGAAACACACAAAGCTCTGTTTAAGCCTAAAATAATTATTTTGATAAAAATAATTTTAATTTAAAAAATTTTTTGAAATAGAGTCTTTGTCACACAGGCTGGAGTGCAGTGGCACCATCTTGACTCACTGCAACCTCCGCTTTCCAGGCTTAAGCGATTCCTTTTTTTTTCTTCTCCCACAAGGAGAAAAAAAAGTATTTTCACTTTCAACAGGGAAAAAAAGTATTTTATTTGATAACCAAGTACACACACGTATTCACACACACACTTGTATATACAACTAAAACAATTATTTTACTCTTACCATGTGGGATGGATTGTGAAATATTCTATGTTCTTTCATTTAAAGAAAAATGCTGGTCACCTTTTAGTAAACAAAAAATTTCACAAATCACTGATATGTTACAACCCATAACTGCTCTAGAGCATTAACAATGCTAAGCTCTAATTTTAAGGAAATATATAGTCATGCTCCTCCTTAGAATTAGCCCATGTGGTATTTTAGGTACTCAACTCAGAGAAAAAAAATTAACATAGCCTTGTTACCATGTATCCAGCCTGGACATGGTACATACTTTCAGTGAGCTTAAATCACCTACCTTCCTAGGCCCAAGATCTGAGGGAATGACTTGAACTATGTAACAGGACTCTTTGTCTGTATTATACCTTTTTTTTTTTTTTTTTTTTTTGAGACAGGGTTTCACCATGTTGGCCAGGATGGTCTCGATTTCCTGACCTGGTGATCCGCCCCGCCTCGGCCTCCCAAAGTGCTGGAATTACAGGTGTGAGCCACCGCACCCCGCCTTGTATTACACATTTTATATGTGTCTTTTTATGTACGTTATTTCACTTGATCCTCACAACAACCCTGTGATGTAGGCGGGGGAAAATATCAGATTCACTTTATAGATAGTGAAGTTAAGGTTCAGAGAGGTTAAGTGACTTTCTTAGTTACCATATACCTAGTACGAGGCAGAGACAGGATAGGAACTGTTAACTTTTAGGTTGGGGGCCCTTTTCTCTAAACCACATAGCTTCTGAGAGTATAATCTAACCCAAAATATTTTTACTGCTTCATCCTTATTTTCTTATTGTTAATTCAACTTTTTACAGGATACCATAAAAGACCTAATTCCAAATTCATCATGCTAAATTTATGCTTCTCTACCAATGAAAACTTATGGCCACAGAACACATGGTTTTTTTTTGGAAAGCACTGTCTCTTTGCATCTAGTCTAAAGGAACATAAGCAATGTAAAAGATCCTAGAGGCCAAGGAAATTGAAGAGAAGTCAGAAGAAGGGATATAAAGGGAATGCATTAACGGATTTTAGTCCCTTTAAGCTAGTACTATTGTGAGAGAGCTTTTGTGGGAGAGCTTTAATGCAGATGAGACTTGAAGCTTTTGAAGATCTCAGTCTTAATGAAGTTATTTAAACTCAAATCTTGAATGCATGATGATGATAGGCCATGGTCTTCAAAAACTGGTACTCGATGATCTCCCAAAGTGCTAGTATTTGAATACCACAATACGTATTGATTGATGTTTTTGTCCATTAATGGTCCATGAATTTCTTTAAGTTAAGTCCATTTTAGAGTCCACAGATATCAGTGTCCTGCAAAACTGTTGGGGATTGGAGGCTCCCAGCAGACCGCAGACGCTCCGCCCTGTCCATGATGTCACCCTCTAAAGCAATTCTTGTGCCTCAGCCTCCTAAGAAGCTGGGATTATAGGTATGTGCCACCATGCCCAGCTAAGTTTTGTATTTTTAGTAGAGACAGGGTTTCGCCATGTTGGCCAGGCTGGTCTTGAACTCCTGACCTCAAGCGATCCACCCGCCTTGGCCTCCCAAGTGCTGGGGTTACAGGCATGAGGCACTGTACACAGTCTGATAAAACTAATTTTTAAATAAAGTATATGTGCAAAGAAAGCATTTGGTGTTAGTTTATTTGCCAGCACATTTTTTTTTTCTTAAGTGTATGTAAATTAAAAATATGTGTCTTACAAAGGATGGAGTCTTGGAGTTGATGAAACACAGTGAAGGAATAACTGAGTGTGTACCATGGTTTGCTTAACTCTTCTCTACTAATATTCAATACTTTCTCTTTTTCGAGACTTCTCACTTTTATCATCGTTACTTGTAATAATAATTATAAACAATCTACTTAACACTTTACAATTAATAAAATATTTTATTTATATATTTAATGATTTGGTAATAAATTCCCACGGTCCAAAAGGTATGAAGGATATACAGGGCAAAGTCTCCCACCCAAGACTGTAGCCAGCCATCCAATTCCTCTCCTGGGGGAGGGCAACCAGTGTCAAAATATTCCTCTAGAAATATATATATATATTCTACTTATTCCTCTCCCTTTTTATAATGCTAACTGTAGCATCCGCTATATTACTATTGTCTTAATATTTACTGGGTGCTCTTGCTTACATTATATGCATTAAAAATTTATATACAAAATTTGTAGCCACACAGTAGTGCCAGCAAGTTGGCAGACAAGTATGATTACAACCTAACAGATGGTTATACTGAGGCCCAAAGAGGTGAAAGTGATTTCCTCAGTGACAGAGCTGGGTCTCAGACCTGAGTCTTCTAACCCTGTGAGGTGAGCACAGGAATTCGATGTGTGAGTGGACCAGTTTCTTTTAAGTCGCACCATTCTTCCTTGAAATGCCAGTTAGCATTCGAGACTCCTAGGTGCTGGTTGGAGTCTATCAGTAGAGATCTGCATGTGGCCTTTCAGGGATCATTAAGTGCTGGTGTAACCGTTCATCACACCTCTAAAGGAGGGACATGGATTCTGCATACAGGCAGTGCAAAAGCATGGAAGTATGGGAAAACCTTGTGAGGTGGAGGGGAATTGGCCTGTACTGCTGGCTTTTCCTGCCCCTGGCTGCTTATATAACCTATTTAGGATTTGCCTTAACCATTCTGTCATAGAGCTCATTCATCCATGCAGTGTCACAATGTGTATGAACAGTTCCCCTGCACAGTGATAATGGAGGTGCTGAGGGGCACACAGCAGAGAGGTAAGCAAAAAGGAACTGTTCTGCAGAGATTTCTTTCTTTTCTTTTCTTTTTTTCTTTTTTTTTTTTTTGAGATGGAGTCTCGCTCTGTTGCCCAGGCTGGAGTGCAGTGGCATGGTCTTTGCTCACTGCAACCTCCACCTCCCAGGTTCAAGCAATTCTCCTGCCTCAGCCTCCCGAGTAGCTGGGGTTACAGGCATGTACCACCACACCCAGCTGATTTTTTTGTATTTTTAGTAGACATAGGGTTTCACCATGTTGGCCAGCCTGGTCTTGAACTCCTAACCTCAGGAGATCCACCCGCCTCAGGCCCCCAAAGTTCTGGGATTATAAGTGTGAGCCACTACACCCGGCTGATTTCTGTAGCTCTTGCATTTCTGAGCCTGTCCTTGGTCTCCTTGTCTGACCTCAGTTGTTCCCCAAGTTAAATTCTCTTTTGACCACTCCTGATGCTGCTTCCGGAGTGCTTGCAAAGTATCATTCGTTTTACTTACGAGTGAATGTATTCAGATATATTAGATACTAATTGAGAATTGGCCAGTGGTATACCGGTAGATGTTTAAAGATCAACTCTTGGGGAGAAAACATGGCCCTGATTTGTAGCATGTGCTGGCTTTTGTGATGTTAATACTTCCATCTTGGTTGATTAAATTTGAAGCGAAGGAGATAAATGCAGGATGTCCAGAGAGGTGGTTACTGAAATGATTAGCATGTCCAGAGACATATGGTGAAACCAGGAGAGTTTGTGTAGATAGGACTGTGTTTGGCTTAGTTCAGCAAAGGAGGAATGTCATTAGCCAGGTGTGAACTTTGTACACATGCCAGGTCCCTGAGGAGTTTCCCTGCCACACAATGCATGATATACTGTTGCTTGTACCTCCTTCCTTTCTTTCAGAACCTGTGGAAACCTAAGGCATTTACTAAGATCTGGAACCTGGGAAGAATAGGGGGTATTGTATTAGGAAACTTTCTCATACATGTAACTTTTCTTTTTTTTGAGACAGGGTCTCACTCTGTCACCCAGGCTGGAGTGCAGTGGCACAATCACAACTCACTGAAGACTTGACCTTTCAGACTCAAATGATCCTCCAGCCTCACGGGGCTTTTTTTGTTGTTGTTGTTTTTGTTGTTTAAATAGAGATAGGGTCTCACAATGTTACCCAGTCTAGTCTTGGACCCCTGGGCTCAAGTGATCCTTACACCTTGGCCTCCCAAAGTGCTCAGATTACAGGCATGTGCCCAGCCCCATGCAAACTGAAGTTTGAGAGTCACTGCCCAAAATCTTGGGCCTTGAGGCTCATGCCAGACCAGGCTCACTTTAAAGGATTATGGCCAGAGTTGGTGTCCCATAAAGGGAATCTAGTTGTGGTGTAGTCCCTGATCCCCACTGGTGCAGTGTTTGTTAGACTTTGGCTTACGTGCCAAAGTCTCCACATTCAGAGCCCTAGGACTTGCCACATAACCAGTGGTGAGTAGGGTGATTGGGATGGTGGGTGGGGAGGTAAAGTAGAGAGATGAACACTTCCTTGGTGCTAACTGCTTCCATGCATTAATTCATTAGCCTACAGTAAAACCTGGCACTTATCCTCCCAGAACCTCTCCTGGGCTGTTTTTCTTCCATATCCTGAGCACCTGGGGGGCTGGGGATGTCCTCTACCTGATCAGGTGGGAGGCCAGTCTTGGGGGTAAGGCAGAGCTACCTGTGACTGACTTCTTACCCTGCCGTCTTCCAGCTTTGTACCTTGAGTAGGTAACTTCATCTCTTTACAATTCAATTTTCTAATGTATAAAATGGAAATGATATGACCTACTTCTCTGGCATCTTTATAGCAGGGAGTAGACTTCCATGACCCACCTTGTCTCTAACCCCCTCCTGAGGCCTAGGAGCCTCCTCCCACCGGGAGAATTCCTTCCAGCTACCAAGATTGGTGTGTAGAGGCAGCATCCCCACGCACAGCAGCTCTGACCCACTATCTCATGTTCTAGGAATTAACCGACTTGCAGAGGGATCCTCCTGCCCAGTGTTCTGCGGGACCTGTAGGTGATGACTGTAAGTATTTTTGGGGGCTTCAGGTTGCAGGAGCATTGTAATTAGACCCCCAAATTTAGGCCAGGCACGGTGGGTCACACTTGTAATCCCAGCTACTCGGGAGGCTAAGGCAGGAAAATTACTTGAACCCACGAGGCAGAGGTTGCAGTGAGCCGAGATCATGCCACTGCACTCCAGCCTGGGCAACAGAGCAAGACTGTGTCTCAAAAAGGAAAAAAAAACAAACACCTAAATTTATCAGCCAAGCAGTGTTTAAGAAAACCAATCAGTCGTTTTCCCCTCGTTTGCTTTTTCATTTGAGGTCTAGGCCATGAGTTCACAGTAGCTTGACTGGTCAGGTGATACTCAGAGTAGTACCTGCATTGCCTTTCATGTCCCATAGTCACCACTTCCCTCTTCTGGGGCATGAGAAAGCCAGCTTGCCCTGAGGAGTCACATCGGCTGCTGGAAAGTGCCCTTGGCCAAGTCAAACTTGGGTGCTGGTGTAAATATTTTTGGAGTTGCTTTAGAGGGCCTGGTGGTGTTGCAGCTCCTGGGAGCAGAGCAGGATGGCCAATGAGGGGCAGAGCAGGGTAGGGCAGTGGCCACTTGCCTCTGCCTCTGCCAAAGGGAAGGACAATCCCTATTCTTTTCTTTCACTTCTGCTTTTCCCTGGGGGAGACTAAGAAGCAGCTCTGGACAGGTTCTGGGGAGAGAGAGGGAGAAGCAGCACTGCCTGTGCCAGGCCTCTGCCATCCTTCAGAGGTATTGGCAGAGGCTGAGCTGCCCAGCATTAGGGTTTCCAGGTCTGTTCTCTGCCCACTCACCTCATCTCCACTTTGTGGGCTTCTTGGGCTCTGGGACACATTCCTTCCCTGTGAGGCTTCAGTAACTGCAGCCATAGGAAAGTAGGCAGGGAGGGGAGATACTGTGTGTTCAAGGAGAGTGGTGTCAGAGGTACACATACCAAAGAATCAAAAACAGACTGAGATAGAATGTATATACCAATGTTCACAGCACTGTTATTCATGATTTTTAGAAGCTGGTAACAACCCAAGTGCCCATCAGTGGATGATAGATAAACAAAATATGGTTCTGATACACAGTGCAACATGGATGGGCCTTGAAAACATGCTAAGCGAAATACGCGGGAAAGAAAAGGATGAATATATGATTCCACTTACAGGAAATATATAGATTAGGCAAATTCATAGAGACAGATGGTAGATGAGAGATTACCTGAGGCTGACGGGAGGGGAAATGGGAGAAATGTTGCTTCATGGGTACAGAATTTGTTGGGGGTGATGGAAAGTTTTAGAAATAGATAGTGGGAATGGTTCTAGAGCATTGTGAAGGCATATAATGCCACAGAATTGTACATTTAAAAGTTGTTTAAATTGCATATTTTATATATTTTTTACCAAGCTGGAAATAAATTTTACCAAGCTGGAAAAAAATGAGGGCATGGTGTCATATGTGTACCTGCATGTTCTGGGAGGGGACCAAGCTTAGAGGAGCAACGGGTAGGCAGATGGAGCCACTGAAAATGGAGGACTTTAAAGGCTTTACGTGGGAGTTTAAATCTTGTTTTTGGAGCAGAACAGAAATGTTTCCCAGCTGCCTGTGCAGAGTGTAAGAAACAAGAACAACTCTGCTCCACTGTCTCCTGATACCTGCTCATCACCCTGCTCCCCACTAATCAGTGTTTACCTCATGTTGTCCTCACAAGCACCCCAGGTCTCCGTAGTATTCTTCCTCTCTTACCTGTCACTTAAGATCATATCAGATTAAACTGGGGTCGCTGTAAGCTTGAACTAGTTCTTGTTCCACCTTAGCTGTCTAGAGGCAGCTCCTTGATGCTCAGCTCAGCTCACATTTACCTTGCACCATAGCCCAGTGCTAAGAGAGGCTAGCATCAAGGCCACCCACCACAGTCAGACCTCACTGGGTGAGGTTTAGAAGGCATTGGAAGCTAGGCTTTGGGGCCATTTCACACCTGCCTTATGGGCACACAGCTGCTTCCAGCATCCCTCCTCTGTTTCCTTTCTCGTCCTCTCGCTTTTGGGGCCTTCTCTTCTGACTCCGCCCTCAAGTCCTGCTTAGTGTCCCAGCAGCCCTCAGGGTTAAATTGAAGGAGACCAGAGGATTCTAACCTTCTGTTCTGAAATATAGTAATTATCAAAAACACTTTATTTAATAAAGAATTCCATTCACATTAATATTAAGCAAAGTTATATCTACTGCCAACTAATGATTAACGTTAATTGGAATAAAAACAGTCAAAAGCCAAAAAAAAAAAAAAGTGATATTTTCATTAACTCAGGCAGCCTTATTACAGGTAAAGGTATTCTCTTCAGCACCATTTCTTTGAAGTATTGAAAAGGGCTCATGGGCCACCTTGACTATTGGACACCTCTAGGGGTTGGGAAACTTCTGCTTTTGTCCCTGCACTTATGCTCCCACCCCAAACCTTGGTACTTTCCTGGGCCTCCTGTCGGGTGGAGCCTGTGGGGTATTTAAACAGGACCAGGTCTGAAACTTTGGGCTAGTTCCATACCCACTATGAACCCATATGAGACAGAATTCTGTTGCGAATAGCAGGCCCTTTAGATGGTCTCAGCAACCCGACTGGATGATGGCATTTTCCACAAAGCCTCTCGAGTCAATATCCCTGGGACCATTTGTATGACTTGGGAGCCTTCGATGTGGGTGTTTGGGCCACACTAGGCTAGCCTTGCTGATACACAGGAGCTGTTCTGGGAATGGGTAGAGCAGTAAAAATCACCTGAGACACTGGAGAGGGTGTGGGATGTGTTATGCAGCAAGAGGAGGTTCTAAACCCCCATCAAAGGGTGGCGACCTGGAAAGGAAGTACAAGAGGGGCTCATTGTGATCTTGTTACTGAGTGCCTAGAGCATAGGGCACTGCCCAGGGGCTGGCCAGGAGAGGACTTAGATGGAGGCAGCACCAATGAGGCTCCAGGGCCATGGGCGGTTGGCTCTTGAGAGAGAGTCTTTGGAGAGGGCTTCAGAATGAATCAGGGGAAACCAAGGAATAGGAGGGTTTATGAAGAGCAATAAGGAAAATGGCTGAAGCCTAGCTAAGGCTTAATTCTGTGCAAAGAACTGACTGAATTGTAGTTATTGGCATTTGTGTAGTAAAGAACTTAATCTTGGCCGAGCACAATGTCTCACGCCTGTAATCCCAGCACTTTGAGAGGCTGAGGCCAGCAGATTGCTTGAGCCCAGCTTGGTCAGCATGGTGAAACCCCATCTCTACAAAACAACAACAACAACAACAAAAATTTAATCTTGTCCCCAAAAGATCTGGCCTTCATTCTTAACACTTAGGGGGCAATCTCTAAGATATCATACCTGCTAGGAGTGTCTTTGTTTGGCTGGAAGCTTTGATGCACACTAACAATGTGATTTCGGGTGAGGACTGGCCACACCAAGTAAACCACTCATGTGTTTTAAGGTGAGAGCCTAGCCTGGGCAACATAGCAAGACCCCATCTCTACAAAAATGAAAAAATAAAAGTAAAAATATTAGCCAGATGTGGTGGCATACACCTGTTGTCTCAGCTCCTGGGAGGTTGAGGCACAAGGATAGCTTGACCCTCAGAGTTTGAGGCTACAATGAGCTATAATGATGACACTGCCCGTCAGCCTCGGTGGCAGACCATCTCAAAAAAATAAAATAAAATAAGGTGGGGGCTTGGATCATGCCTGGAGGAGCTGGAGACTGGAGCCTGATATCAGCCCTGTGGGCACTCAAATCAGTCAATCATGCTCTCAGGAGCCCCAATAAGAATTCTGAATACGGAGGCTCTGGTGAGCATCTCTGATTGGGAGTTCTCTGTGTGTGTTGCTGTACAGCAATGCCAGGAGAATAATATATCCTGACTCTATGGAGAAAGAAGAATGGAAGCTCTGTGTTTGGACCCTCTTGATGCTAACCTATGCTGTTTTCCCTGTGATAACTGGCCATCATGAGCACAGCCACTTTCAGTGAGCTCTAGGATTCCTAGGCAGTAATCGCATCTTGGGTGGTTTGGGGAACCCCAATTTGTAGTTGGTGTCAGAAGTGAGGGCATCTTGTGTGGACGGTACCTTGTAATTTAGCAGTGCATTTTCAGTAGATAGACATGTTTCTTGGGGGATCTCTTACATGCCCATCTCTCTTTTGTCTTGCAGTATTCCACTGGCAGGCCACCATCATGGGCCCGGTAGGTAGTGGCTGCTGAGCACACCGCTACAGTTTTGCTTCTTGCACTTTGGGCTTAGCACATGCACTTATCTCTTTCTGTGTCTCATCCTTCCAGAATGACAGTCCTTACCAAGGAGGTGTTTTCTTCCTGACCATCCACTTTCCTACAGATTACCCATTCAAGCCCCCAAAGGTGAGGTCCCCCTCACAACTTCCCTGATGTTTGGATAAAGGACAGCATGTGACGAGGGGCCCTTCAAATCGGGTATAGGTAAAAAGAGCTGTATGTGGAGCTTCTCTTTGGGCCCACCGCTCTACGCTGTGGTGACAGCCTCCCAGGACTTTAACCACTGTTTGGATGAAGGACAGCATGTGACAAGGGGCCCTTCAAATCGGGTATAGGTAAAAAGAGCTGTATGTGGAGCTTCTCTTTGGGCCCACCGCTCTACCCTGTGGTGACAGCCTCCCAGGACTTTAACCACTGGACTTTGGGAATTAGCACCTGTTGTGAGCAAGGGTCAGTGGGGTGAGCTGGTGCTGGCCTCCTTACTGAGACCACAGTTTGAATGCTGCTCCTTGTGGCTGTAGCTGAGTCTGGTAATGTCTCCAGGTTCTGGCTCCCTTCTCTGCAGTCCTTTATTTAGAGTTAGGACAGGGGTTCTCAGCTGGGATGATTTTGCTACTGCCCCAGGGATATTTGGGTAACATCTTAGGATATTTTGGGTTGTCAAAACTGTGGTGAGGGGGTACTACTGGCATCAAGTGGGCAAAGGTGAGGGTGTTCCAGGGATTCCCTATAGTGCACAGGACAGCCTCCCTTCCCATGAGAGAGAATGATCAGCCCCAAGTGTCAATAGTGCCAAGGTGGACACACCCTGGTTTAGGACTGGTGAGTCACACATTCACTTTCCTTTATTAAGTTAAAAGAATAGCAAGCCTCCTTTGCTCTGTATGCAGACAGCATCCCCTCATTGGAGCTTTAGAGAACAGTGTCACCAAAGGGAAGGAGAAGCCCAGGGAGGTACCTTGACCATCCTGCTCTAGCACGTCTTGTTCACTGCAGGTTGTCTTGCTTCCTGGACCCTTGCACCTCATAATCCTCCTCACCTGGGCCCTGCATGGGTGGCCAAGCCTGCCATGAGGCTCACAGTCCTGTGGAGGAGACAGGGCGTTTAGCACGTAAGCCAGTGGGCACTGGGGAGGAGCATCAGCAGGGGTTGGCAGCAGGAGCTGGGGTGGCAGGGAGATTACCCTGAGGAGGGGCACCGTAGAAGCTAAGCAAGGGGGCAGACAGGTCTCCAGGAAACTGGTCCAGGAGAGTGAGACTGTGAGGAGCTGGGAAGGATGGCCCCAGTAGTGGGGTCTGCACGCCCTGTGTGGGGATTGCCACACCAACAGGATCACTCTGCGGCCTTGTGGAGAAGAGGCTGGGTAGGGATCCCAGCCAGGTGAGGCTCTGTGGTGAGGCATGGCTGGTGGCATGGAGGTGGGGAGAAGAGGTGAATTTAGGAGTGTTAGGTGGAGCCGGCAAGGACGGGCTACAGTCAGGTGTGGCCACACAACAGGGTGTGTGTGATTCACATCATTTTTAACATCTGTTTTTTTCTGATTGCAAAACTGGTGAAAGTTCATTATTATCAGATAGAGAACTAAATTAGCTGATGATAGCCATGGCCTAATGCAGACCCAGAGAAGACCCAGCTGGTGTCCTGGTGTCCAGTCTTCCAGGGTGTTTCCTGCATACACAAGCATATATTTTTATTCTCTTTTAAAAATAAAGACATCAACTATCTTTTGTGAGTGAGGAAACTGAGGCTTAGAGAAGTTGTATCATTTCCTGAGATGACATGGCCCATAATGGAGGGTGGGACTGGAACCCAGATGTGGCAGCCTTTTAAAAAAAACTTTTTATTTTGAGTTAATTTTAAACTTAGAAAAAAATTACAAAAACAGTACAAAGAGTTTTTATGTATTTCTTATCCAGCTTTCCCTGATGTCACCGTCTTACATTACTGTAGCACAATGATCAAAACCAGGGAATTAATGCTGGTCGCGATACCACACACTAAAGACCGTACTCAGTTTTTACCAATTTCCATCAAGTCCTCTTTGTGTTCCAGAACCCAGCACTCATTTATTGCCATGTCTTCTTAATCTTCTCACTCTGTAATGGTACCTCAGTTTTTCCTGGTCTTTCATGACCATGATGCTTTTGAGGAGTATCAAACAATTATGTTGTCAAATGTCCCTCATTTTGTGTTCGTGTGATGTTTTCTCAGGATTGGACTGAGGTTGTGCATTTTGGTTTTTTGATTTTGTCTTGGTTTTTGCTTTTTGAGATGGAGTCTCACTGTATTACCTAGGCTGGAATGCAATGACGTGATCTCGGCTCACTGCAACCTCTGCCTCCCAGGTTCAAGCCATTCTCCCGCCTCAGCCTCCTGAGTAGCTGGGACTACAGGCACTTGCCACCACACCCGGCTAATTTTTGTATTATTTTTAGTAGAGATGGGGTTTCACCATGTTGGCCAGGCTGGTCTCCAACTCCTGGCCTCAGGTGATCCACCTGCCTCGGCCTCCCAAAGTGCTGGGATTACAGGCAGGAGCCACTGCGCCTGGCCAGGTTGTGCATTTTGGCAAGACTTACTCCGAAGTCCTGCACCTACATCGGACACCGTAGCCGAGGGGTTGTGATGTCGCTATGTCTCACTACCTTGACTTGGCCTTGATGGCTCGATTTGAGCCAGAGGCTTAGCTGCTGTTTTGCATATTGTTTATCTGAGTCAATGTGAAGAAGCCCTTTCTGTGCTCACCAGCTGTAGCTCTGTCCAGACAGCACCACCAGAGGCTACCTGGTGCCTGAGCATTTTAAATCTTGGTTAAATATGTGTAGGATCCCAAAGACCTTTTCAGGTTTTGGCAAGGGAGTGGGGTGTGTGGAGCAGAGCAATGACAGATGCTAAAATAGCTTCACCGCATTGGAGTACAACTGCTGTTCAAGGGGGTTTGGCTGAAAAAGCATAAACATGCTTCACAGTGCTCTGATTCACCTCCTCTCCCTTCCCTTGTGGAGAGGCTGTTGGTAGTGTCTTATCAAGTAGTAATTTTCTAGCTTACCTCTTTCATTACCATGTAAGCAGCTGAGGATTTTCCTTAAACAGATACTGAGGTAGTTCTGAATGTCTGTTGGGTGTTTTCAGGATACCTAATTGCCCAAGGACAAAGGAGAAACAGTGGTTATTATTAAAAGACTAAGAGGTGCTGGGTGCAGTGGCTTATGCCTGTAATCCCAGAACATTGGGAGGCCAAGGCGGGTGGAACACCTGAGGTCAGGAGTTCGAGACCAGCCTTTTCAACATGGCAAAAACTTGTCTCTTCTAAAAATAAAAAAAATTAGCCAGGTGTGGTGGCGGGCACCTGTAATCCCAGCTACTCGGGAGGCTGAGGCAGGAGAATCACTTGAACCTGGGAAGTGGAGGTTGCAGTGAGCTCAGATTGTGCCACTGCACTCAAGCCTGGGCAACGAGAGTGAAACTCTGTCTCAAAAAAAAAAAAAAAAAAGACTAAGTAAGCTCTGTGGGTGAGTTGGGATTATTTTAACAAGGAGAGATGTGAGGTGAAAGGTAACAGCGACACTCTGAGAAAGAAAGTGCTTCTGTCTTTAAAAAATCTCCTTCCGCAGGGAAATAGGAGCAACTGGACTTATGTTTTGGCACAATTTTTCTGAAAATAGGAGAAATCTGGCAAGATTGCATGATCTTTATTGGAGATATCGAGGCAGATAATGTCTGAGACCCTTTTGAAGTTTGATCCTTCCTGGGAAAAATTATATGGTAATAGATATTCAAGTTCACCAGCACACAACTCTTTTGTCATATTCTAAAGTAAGTTTAAAAAAAAACTATTAAAAACTATATCAAGCATGCAAAAAATTGTAGATGTTTGTGCTTAATGATATAAAGGATGGTATAAAGGATGTTAATGATATAAAGGATGTTTGTGCTTCCTTCATCTAGCATAAAAAGTACCTGTGAGGCCGGGCATGGTGGCTCACGCCTGTAATCCCAGCACTTTGGGAGGCCGAGGCAGCAGGATCACAGGGTCAGGAGTTCAAGACCATCCTGGGCAACATGGTGAAACCCCATCTCTATTTTAAAAAAAAAAAAGTACCAGTGAGTTCTCAGAGCTAGTGGAGGAGGCAAAATCCTTATGTTACTTTGTCCTAGCCCCTGCAGTGCGGTCTCTGCTAGCCCAGTGGGGGTGTAGGTGAGGCAAATTCTAGTGGAAGCTGCACATGACTCAGAGCACCTTGCACATCACAGAGAGCAGACTCTCTGTGGGTCTCACAACATCCCTGGGAGAGGTACCATGAACCTAGTTACAGTGAAGGCTCTGAGGTCTAAGGAGGTCATTTGAAGAAGTAATGTGTGTCTGTGGTTTAAAAAAAAAAAAAAAAGGTCAAATGTAGGAGAGTATAGAGTAAAAATAGGACCTTCTTTAAACTTTGTCTCTCTAGCCATGGCCCCCCACTTTCCTTCCACAAGGCACTGAGTCCTACTTGTCTTTTCGTTTCTCTTCCAGGAGTAATCTCCACCTGGATAAGCACTTGTTTGTGCTCCCTTGTTTCTCCCATGAATGGAACAGACCTTTCCATGAATCTGCATCTTGCTTTTCCCACAGCAATACATCTTGGAAATTGTTCCATATGATCACATTTTTGTTTTAAAAATTCACCTCATTCTTTTCAAACAGTTGTGTAATATTCTATTGCTTATATATAACATTAATTTAACCAGTCATCAGTCTGAACACATATAGGTTTCATATCTTTTGTTACAGTGGGTATCCTTACGTATTTGAAATGCATAAGGGTATTTTAGAGCTCAATTCTGTGAAGAGGGGGGTTTTACAAAGGGTGAAATAGAAAGTTGGGGAGGGTTTGTGGCCTGGCAGAGGGTTCACAGCCAGGGCTTTTCTCCTGATGATGTGTCTTATGTCCACAAAACATCACTGCTTTTTGCATAAAAATTCTGGGCTTTTGAGTCCTTTCCACCATCCTTGTTACTCCCTCAGAGCATACTGCTTTCTCAGAGATGGTATCAATCCCCTTATGTTCAGAATGATAATCCAGGAGGGAATGGTCAAGGAACTTCTGAGTGATCACTCACTTCCATATCCCATTAGAGTTTGGGAGTGGGTGTCTGGCTCAGCCTGCACTGTGGGGCCAGATATGCAGCACACTGCAGGTACATCCCAGCAGCAGCTGCTTCTGCTTTACGTGGTTCATTTCCCAGATGTCCCTGTGTTTGTCTGATTTGGGATCTCTTGTCTTTTCAGGTCGCTTTCACAACCAAAATTTATCACCCTAATATCAACAGCAATGGCAGCATCTGCCTTGATATCCTGCGGTCTCAGTGGTCTCCAGCATTGACTGTGTCAAAAGGTAGAGACGCTGATGGCATGCTCTTTGTGCCTGTCTCTTACTCATGTTTTTACCCCAGCACTGTCTGAGTGGAGATAGAGGCTCAGAGAGAGCAGGCACTTTTCTCAGGCCACACAGCCCTGTCCATAGTTGTGCCCATAAGTGGATATCCTTGCACCCCCCAGGAGGCAGCACCAGCAGAACCTTGTGCCTTGCACCAAGGCGGTTCTCAGCAGTCGATTGCCAAGGGGTGCTCAAGACTGTCACATGAGTGCAAAAAGAAAATATTGATTCTACTTAGATTTTTTTATCTAAAAATAAGAAAGGCAAATATTACATTACCTTTTCTGTTCCCTCATTTATTCATCCAATAAGCACAACACGGACTGTGAGTCAGCCCTGAGGGAAGAGATACAGGACATGCCCCCGGGGCCTTGAAATTGGTGGAGAAATCCTCCCTTCACAAAATGAATGATGTTGAGCATAATAAACCATGTCTGTGGTTGAAGTTGAAGAAACCAGTCTAAACTGAGCTTAGAAATGCAGATATTCCTTCTGAACTAAGATGGGCTGAGCATGGGCTGTGTGTGCACAGGAGACCTGAATGTAGACGGTGCAGTATCCTGCCAGGTGGAGCGTGGGTAGGATGGTGAAAAATCAATCCCCCACAAAAAACAGAGCCCAGCCTAATTTTTAAAATTTTCTGTAGAGACAGGGTCTTTGTTGCCCAGGCCAGTATCCAACTTCTAGCTTCAAGCAATCCTTCCACGTTGGCCTCCCAAAGCACTGGGATTATAGGTGTGAGCCACCGTGCCCAGCCAAGTATCTTAAGAAAGGCAAACCTGCCCCCAGCCAAGTATCTTAAGAAAGGCAAACCTGACCCGTCATTTGTAGCTTTACATGTGGGGAACTGTGGTCAGGACTTTGATGGACTCGCTGAATCCAGTTTGTTTGGAATCATATGGTGAATTGAAAGCAAAGCTAGGAATGAGAGTCCACATTTCCGTCTGGGACCCCAAGAATCCAGGCACCACAGTTCTGCTCCCCACCAAAGCCCTAGTGGGTGATTCCCTTCCCCCAGAGTTACTGAGAGCCACGCTGAGTGCACGTCCTAGAGCCGGTGCTGGCATCTGCTTTATGGTTAGACCTGGTTCAGAATCTCATTTTTGCCCATTTATTGGGTGTTCCAAGTCTGTAACCTTGGACAAGTTACTTGAATGCCCTGAACTCTTGTTTCCTTACCAATAAACAGGACTCTTGGGACTAAACACCAGAGATGCATGATGTGGGGTACAAACAAGGATGGAAGGGCAGTTGGAGACTAAGATGGGGTGCTTCAGTGGAGAAGGGGAGTGACAGCCAGGATGCACCCAGGAGGAAAGTGTCCTAGCACAGCGTGCCTGAGGCCACACAGTGAGGACTGCCTCGGCTGATACGTGGGACAGAGCAAGTAGTGCATGAAGCAATTTAGATTGGGCTGTTGAAGGGAAGACAACTGCTTGGTCAATAGAGAATGTGAGTTCAGGGAGGTTCACCCTAGGGTGACCTAGCCACCTCATGGCTGCAGCTGACCAACCTTTCCTTTTCTTCCCAGTTCTCTTGTCCATCTGCTCACTGCTCTGCGACCCCAACCCCGATGACCCTCTGGTACCAGAGATAGCTCACACCTACAAGGCCGACAGAGAAAAGTACGTGTCCTCTTTGGGTTGCCTTTGCACCATGGCTGCCCCAGGCAGCTCCATGCAGTACCTGTGCTCTGAGCTGGTGCTTCTGGGCTACAGGTTCCCACGGACATCTTCCTGCCCATGCTGAGCCATGCGCACAGTGGGTGTGCCCTGGGCTTGGACTCCTGGCTCTCTCACTAACATGTCCTTTGAGTCTAAGGAGGGAGAAGGAGATAAAAGCAGTTCATCCTCCTGGATAACTCATTAGCTGCTGCTACTATTTACGAAACCATTGCCAAGCCCCGCCCTTGAGGCCAGCAAAATCAGTGGTCAGCCAAGAATGGACTCAGAAGAATCTGACAACAAGAAAATTCTGATTTTAATTCTAAGGTTTATAGCCTAAGACAAGGGGATGTCTGCTTGGCTCTACCCAAGGTGAGGCTGAGGGCAGTCAAGGTGGGAAAGACTGCTGTGGTCATTTCGCTGGCTCAGACTCAGAGGTCAGCAGTGTGTTGCCGTTTCACCAGCAGAACTCCACAGCCAGCTCTCTGTTTAAACACCAATTAACAAACCCAGAATTGTAAAATTCTGATTCCCCGTAGGCCAGGCACAACCATATGCACTATAGCATGAGGATGTCTGTAGTTGGTTGGGCAAGCACAAGGAGTCACCACCATGTGTTAGTCTCTGAGTGCTGACAGCACTGTGAGAAAGGGCCAGGTGTGGTAGGGGCTGCAGCCCCATGAGTAGTGTGAATCTCAGTTGTGGGCCTCCAAGGAAGGCATTGCTGGCCCTTTTAAAAGGCATTTTTAGTAAGTGAGTTCTTCAGCTCATTACTCATTACATCTTTTCTGTCTGAAGAGATTAGAATGGAGTATGTTTTTTCCCTTTTTTTTTTTTTTTTTTTTTTTTTTTTCTCATTCTGTTGGCCAGGCTGGAGTGCAGTGGTGCAATCACGGCTTACTGCAGCTGCCACCTCCTGGGCTCAACCTGTCCTCCTGTCTCAGCCGCCTGAGAGGCTGGGACTGTAGGCATGTGCCACCACACCTGGCTAATTTTTTGTAGAGACGGGGTTTTGCCATATTGTCCTGGCTGGTCTTGAACTCCTGGGCTCAAGCAGTCTGCCCACGTAGGCTTACAAAGTGCTGTGGTTATAGCCATGAGCCACCACACTCACTCAGCCACATGGTTTTTTCAAATTATATTCTTCTTAAGACCTTTATAGATCTTATTATTTCCCTCACTGGAGTTTCTTCGATAACATTCAGCATTTTTAATTGACTGAGGTTTAACTTATATTTGTTTATTTTAACACTTATGAAATATTTTAGACATACCAAAGTGATTTTTTTTTAGTGCCTCTTGTAACTATAAATCTCTCTAATTTATAGTCTCATGGCATCAAATCTCATTACAATGATGAGAGTAAGTACACATACCTGCATAGCCCTCAGTGGATGCCCGGCCTCCTCCATATGCTTTACATACAGGCTTGTCTAGTCTTCCCCACAAGCACACAAGGCAGATACTCTCCCCATGGCAAGAAATCAAAAAATCCAGCACACACAGGGTCAGAACAACTGCTGAGGATGGTGCTGATTCACACTCCGGTGGGCAGGTTCCCTAGCCCTTGTTCTGGAGTTTGTGTGCTGGACGGCCTGTAACTAGTACAGACTGACCTTTGTGTGTCTCTTCTCTCTCCTCCCTGCATCCATATTGTAGGACAGGAGAGAGAAAGGGAGGAAGTCTGTTGCATTATTAAATCTTCCACAGCAGATAGTTATGAAGAATCAATAGTTTGGGGTTTGCACATGAGGGGTTCACCAAGCTGGGGGTTACAGCCATGTCTGATATGCTCCTGGTCCGGGAAAAGCCTTTATTCCATTCACCCATCAGCCCTAGATGTTTGACAAGCAGCAGCAGCAGCAGCAGCAGCATTCCCCACATCAGTCCTGTTCTCTGCACCATAGTGAAGGGAAGTGACCATTTCAAGTGAGGGTATCACTCCCTCTGCTTTTTTCTTCCAGGTACAACAGACTAGCAAGAGAGTGGACACAAAAATATGCTATGTAAGTGCCTCGGAGATTTTACGGGAGACATTGTCCAAGAGAAGCTAGCAGAGAGGTCTTCCCTTAAAACTTTGGGCTGTTGGCTGAGCCATTCAAAGAGTGTCATCTGTTCTTCAAAAAAATTTGGTCTCCACTCTCTCCAGCTGCAGCATGTTGGTGCCATTCTCAGCGGTTATGGCTTTGACAGTGCCACCTCTTTGCTGCCAAATCAGCAGCCATTGTTGTTATGATCTGCAGCCTTCCTGGTTACACTGGAATCTCTCTCTCTGCCACCCCAGTTTATCTGCTGGTCTCTTGGGGGGCCAGACCCTGCACGTCTCTCCTACCTAGCCTCAAATGGTGCTGCTGCCCATGATGGTACCATACCAGGGCCTCAGCCTGGCCCTTTACCACATACCCTTTGCCTTTTAGAACTCAGTGCCATCCTGGGTGCCCAAGGCAGAGCAGGCTTTCCTCACACCCGTCTGCTGCAGAACCTGAGGAGTCTCTGCCCATCCTGGAGGGAATTGGGAACAGCATTACTGGGAAGTGAAGGCCTAGCCCTGAGGCTTCCACCAGTCTCCTCCTGCAGTGCCACGTGCTGGCATTTCTTCCCTCACACCAAGAAGCAGCAAGTGGAAAATTTCAGGATACAAAGCACATAACATCCCATAAGAGATGACTATGTTTTTAGAAGCAAGAGCAAAATTATGAAACCTCTAGAGATTTGGGTTATGTTACTCCATTTGATGAGGATTCTCACTACCCCCTGCTCCTCCTACTAGGAGCCTACACTAAGTCCAAGTGTGAGCCATTCACAGACTAGAACACAAGGAGGGAGAGAGACTCTTAAATGTAAATAAAAATTCACTCATAATTCTAAATGATAATTGACATTTCAGTCTCTTTTTCTTTTAGGTAGAACAGAAGATACACACTTTAACAATTATTTGGAGCCTTAAATTACAATCGCCTGTTGGGTGACTGGCTTTCTATCTTGGCTTTCTGATGCAGCACATTTTTTTTTTTTTCTTTTTGAGACGGAGTTTCACTCATGTTACCCAGGCTGGGGGGCAATGGCGCGATATCGGCTCACCGCAACCTCCGCCTCCTGGGTTCAGGCAATTCTCCTGCCTCAGCCTCCTGAGTAGCTGGGATTACAGGCACGCACCACCATGCCCAGCTAATTTTTTGTATTTTTAGTAGAGATGGGGTTTCACCATGTTGACCAGGATGGTCTCGATCTCTTGACCTCGTGATCCACCCGCCTCGGCCTCCCAAAGTGCTGGGATTACAGGCTTTAGCCACCGTGCCCGGCCTCTGATGCAGCACATTTTGAGGTCTGCCTTTAAAGCTGTGAGCCTTGAGACTAGGTTAGCTAGGAAGAGGACAGAAAAGGGAGGGGATTATTCTAATAAAGCTTCCAAAGAGGGAAGAAAATTGAGGAGCTTCAGATCTCTAAAGCCAAACTCAACCTGATTTTTCTAGGTTGCTTATAAAGCTGGTCTACCCCCCAGAAAGTGATGCTTGAATAAGAACAAGAGGTGAAGAAGCAGTAAAACTGTGACCAGATGGCCAGATGAGGCCTTTGCAGGCTGATTGAAAGGAAGTCTACAGACCTAACACCTGCAGTCAGCCAAAGGTGGCTATGGGAAGTTGATTTCTTCCAGATACTTCCAAGTTGTGGCTGCAACTTTATTGCCAGATACTCTCCCACTGAGGATACTGAGGTTATTAACATAATCACTTTCTTAGCAAAGGAAGAAGCACTTTGAACTTGGGCAGCATTTCCTTTGGGATGGTCCACATTTAGGATCCTCCTGTTACCATAAGGCCACTTTTGGGGTCCTATGGGTGTGGCTCCATCTCACCAAAAAGGATTGCCTTTTTTTTTTCTTTGAGACAGAGTCTTTCTCTGTCTCCCAGGCTGGAGTGTAGTGGTGCGATCTTGGCTCACCGCTCCACCTCCCGGATTCAAGCAGTTCTTTTGCCTCAGTCTTCTAAGTAGCTGGAATTACAGGCGTGTGCCACCACGCTGGGCTAATTTTTGTATTTTTAGTAGAGACAGGGTTTCATCATGTTGGCCAGGCTCCAGGTCTCAAGCCTGCCTGCACTGGCCTACCAAAGTGCTGGGATTATAGGTGTGAGCCACTGCGCCCAGCAAGGATTGCCCTTTTAATTCTTGTATCTTCGCTGCTTCTTTGGCCTTTTCTTAAACAAAACCATAAATCTTAATAGTTGGGGAGAATGCTGTTTCCACGGTGTCCTCTAGGAAGGCTGTCAGCATACAGCTCTACTGAGCAGCAATGCCATCTGGTGCCTGAGATCATGTGCTTCATGAAGGCAGTTGTCACAGTGCACCTGCAGCCAAGCATCACAGAACACTTTACTCATATGATCAAGGAAGGTGGGACTGATTCACTTGTTAGAGGCAGGTCAGATGGGAAAATTCGGGCCCAAATTGGTGTTGGGGAATAATCATAAGCTGGTCTTTCAAGCGTAATAGGTTATGACTCCCAAGAAACTGGTGAATTTTCTGAGTTCAGTCAAAATTTCCCAAGCCTGCTCTCTCTGTTGGTTATATGTAATAGAGAAAGTCAAATCAGCCCTTTGGGGTTTGTGGTAAAGATTCACACACCAATTGAAGCCTGAGGTGCTTTGTACCTTCCAGATCTCTCAGCAAATCTCCTGGGCAGTAATGTCACCTGCTTGCCATACCTTCAAGGGGCTCAGATCAGCCTGAAGAACAGGCTCCTTAAGTCAAAAACCTTGTTTTAAGAGCCACTGTGTTACAGTCAGTGTAAGCCACTGTAACCAATATGTGCAGAAGCCATGCTTCCAAGGAGAGTCCCAGGCTGGCAACTAGACAGCAGATCTGAGAAGCCAACTGTGGAGTAATGTGTTTTTTTCTCTGTGTACCACAGAGATAGAAAGGTGCTTGATCTTAAACAATTGATCCATGATGAACAAATGACCATTAACTCTCCCCCAGAAGCTTCTGGGTTTGCTGAATGAAGCTGAGATTTTGATCCACTATCAGAATCCAGAAAGATCCAGGAGTTCCAAGAACATGGCAATGAGTCAAAATCTTAGGATAAGGGATTAAAATGTCAATGCAAATTTCCAACTGACCCAGTAGCTCACAGCTGAGCAGTATATCAGCACGTTAGAATTCCACACTGCCTCACTGCAGTTGCTCAAGGATGGGTAGGTTTTTGTCTCTGAAATTCAGGAAAAAGCCTTAAGTGCCAGAGAAGGTGCTTCCAAGACTGTCTGCAGAATTCCTTTGATAGGGTTTGTCCCAGGTACCCAAAAGTGTAGAGAAGGAATCCTAAGATTAGCATAGAACCACTCATCTCTTCTCCCCTCCCTACCCCTTTTTCCCATGCTTCCATTCCCCATGGCTGTCTCTTCGGACTGTGACACACACTTCCTCTCCAGCAGTGTCAGGAAGTCTGGACCTGTATTGAATCTAGCCATAATGGAGATTGTGGCTGCCAGCACCTGCAAGACAGCACCCTCATGCCATGCAGGTAGCAAGCCCATCCTGAGTAGCATTCCTCCTAGAGGCTGCTCCCTCACCTGCTGTTCACTGGTGAGAGGAAAAGGGACTTGTTCTCCCTTGACCTGTTTTCTGGTTTTCCTGTTCCCACCCTGGTCTTTGCCTGGTGACAGAGAAACTTTCTAAAAAAAATAAAAACAAAAAGCTATAAAAAAAAAAAAATCTGCATGCCAGGCACAGTGGCTCAAGCCTGTAATCCTAGCACTTTGGGAGGCCAAGTTGGGTGGATCACCTGAGGTCAGCCTGGCCAACATGGTGAAACCCCATCTTAAAAAAAAAAAAAATCTGCAAACCACCCCATCAGAAGTCAATAATTTCTTTAAAAATACATCCAATGGGCCGGGCGTGGTGGCTCACACCTGTAATCCAAGCACTTTGGAGGCCAAGGTGGGCGGATCACCTGAGGTTGGGAGTTCAAGACCAGCCTGACCAACATGGTGAAATCCCGTCTTAAATAAATAAATAAATAAATAATACATCTACTTCCTTCCCATCCTTCTCATCTTCTCCCATGCCTCCAGACAGGTGTGTTTGCTGGTATCCAGCTACCTACATCAGATCTCCTCTTGAAGGCAGGTGCTCAGCTGGGCTCCATGTTGGAGGGCAACAGCAGAGCCACTTGTAGCTGGCCTCTCAACCCTGCTGCCCCCCCAGCCTACCCAGAATGGCTCAAAGGGCTGGTCTTCTGAGAAAGACTTGCAGCTAGCCAATTATCACAATCACTTTCCAGTTATGTTAAGTGGTATCAAAGCATTGATTGAGACCTTCCCATAAGCAAGATGTGGTAGGAGGAAAAGGGAATTATAGAAAGAAAGCATGCAAACGTATAAAAGTCACTGATAGACTAGATACACAAATGAGAAAGAAATCAAGCATTATCATCACAGAAAACCACCAAATCTCAAAAGATAAGAGAAGAAAGGGACCAGGCATGGTGACTCATCCCTGTAATCCCCCACTTTGGAAGGCTGAGGTGAGAGAATTGCTTAAGGTCAAGAGTTTGAGACTAGCCAAGGCAATACGGTGAGACTCTGTCTCTTATTAAAAAAAGGAAAAGAGGCCGGGCGCGGTGGCTCACACCTGTAATCCCAGCACTTTGGGAGGCCGAGGCGGGTGGATTACGAGGTCGAGAGATCGAGACCATCCTGGTCAACATGGTGAAACCCCGTCTCTACTAAAAATACAAAAATTAGCTGGGCATGGTGGCGCATGCCTG